TTGCTATGTACAGGAGATCGTGCTTGAATGAAAGGCTGCTTTATGTTACTTCTCTGTTTTATTTGTTTTCCTTTGTCTAGGCATATTCCTGAGTTTTTGGATTGTACCAGCATGTGGGCCAAAATATACAGTTTGGTGATTACATGTTGACAGTTGTACCCATAGCTGTTTTCCTTTGAGCTTTTTAATGTTGTTTAAGCACATATAATGGCTTTAGTTTCTTCCTGGTGCTACAAGAAAGAATAGAAGCAATAGGAAGCCATATTCCTCATCAAGCCCTCATTCAGTAAGGTGATAGCTGATCTGACCTTGACCTGTACTTTCCTGGCTATTCCCCATGACCCTAGATTCCCCCATAAACCAAAAACCAATCTAACTCACCTTTAAGTATATTCAAAGGCCCAGCATCCACTGATCTCTGGGGAAGAGAATGAAAAATGTTATGACCCTCAAAGAAGATATTTATCCCCGTCCGTGTGTAAAATGGGGTCTCTCTTATTCTAAAACTGCATCCCCTGGATATAGATTCTGCCACAAGAGGAAACATCTTCTTGGCATCTTTGTTGCTCTCAGAATCTTGTCAATAAGATCACCTCTCATTCTTCTAAACTCCAGTGTGTATAGGCCCACTCCATCTTTCCTCATAAGATAACCCCTTCATTTCAGGAATCAATGCAGTGAAGCTTCACTGAGCTGCCTTCAATGCAAATATATTCCTTAATATGTAAGGAAACCAAAATTGTACACACTTCTCCAGGTATGGTCTTACCATGCCCTGTATAGTTTAGGAAGTGTTCCCAACATTAATGCTCCATCCCCTTTGCAATGCAGGCCAACATTCTATTAGTCTTCCTAATTACTTGCTGTACATGTCTGCTAGCTTTCAGTGGTTCATGTTCAAGAGTACACATGTCCCTCTGTGCCACAGCATTCTGCAACCCCTAACTATTCAAATGAAAATCTGTTTTTTTATTCCTCCTATGAAGTGGACAACCTCCCATTTTCCCACATTATACCAAGTTATGGTCCACTGTCTTTACCCTTGCAGACTGTTTGGGCAGGATTTTCCAACTGGTTTTGGGACACTGCTGTGGAGGTCCCAAGTCTACACTTTTCAGTGGCCAAACGGTGGGGTAAGGTGATGACCTAGTGGTATTATTGCTGGACTTTTAATCCAGAGACCCAGATAATGTTCTGGGGACCCGGTTCGAATCCTGCCATGGCAAATGGTGGAATTTGATTTCAATAAATATCTGGAACTAACAATGTCATAATGACCATAAATCCATTGTCGATTGTTGGAAAAACCCAGCTGGTTCACTAATGTCCTTTAGGGATGGAAACTGCCATCCTTACCTGGTCTGGCCTACATGTGACTCCAGACCCACAGCAATGTGGTTGACTCTTAACTGCCCTCTGGGCAATTGGAGATGGGCAATAAATGCTGCCTAGTCAGCAACACCCCTCGTCCTGTGAATGAATATAAAAAAAGGGAAGTATTTGTCCAGAAGTAATCTCCTCTAAGTGGCTGTATCTGCGCCAACAAGGATGAGAGTGTAGCACCCCAATTACAAGGCCATCAGGGGAGGTGGGAACTGCTGAGGCAGGTAGGAGATTGGAAGGGCATCCGTGAAGATGAAAACAAATTAACTGTTTCAGAAGCTGGGAGGGGAACTCCGGACTGTTATGCCCTGGGAATGTCTTTTCTGGCCAGCCAGCATCAGGAAGTGAGCCATTTCAACACAATTCCTCCTTATTTGCTGACTTTCCAGCCTGGATCCTCGCCACAACAGTGTAAAGAAAGTAACTCCCTGGGTGCTCCCTATAACTTGCTTGCCCATTTATCTTTGTATCATCAGCAATATTGGCTGTAATATGCGTAGTCCCTTCATCACAAATCATTACTGTAGATTGTAAATAGTTGAGCCTCCAGAACTGATCCCTGTGACACTCCTGCATTACAGTTTGACAACTCGAAATTGACTCATTTTTTTCTGACTCTCTGCTTTCCGTTTGTTAACCAGTTCTCTAGCCATGCTAATACATCACCCGCAAAGCTTCTACTTTGTGCAGCAAGGTTTCATGTGACAAATTTTGCAAATTCCAACTAGATCTACACATTTGTCTTTATCTGCCCTGCTTGCTACATTCTCAGAGAATCCTAATAAAAGTGTGAAACTCAAAACCATACTGACTTTGCCTGATTGAATCATGATTTTCTAGATATCCTGTAACTACTTCTTTCATATTGGATTACATTGACAGCAATCAGGCAAACTGGACTATAGTTTCCCACTTTGTATCTCGCTCCTTATTTGAATAAACATGTTACATTTAGTTTTCCAATCTAGGGAAATCTGGAAGATTAGAACCAAGTCAACCTGGCTCTCTCTGTAATATCAATGCCAAATTAAGAGAGTATATATTGGTACCATTAAATGTTATTCATTTTGATCAACAGTTTGAGTTACTGTAGTGTGGATAGTAAACCCAAGCTTGGTTTGGGTGCACAAATTGGCTATGTGCAGTCTCATACTGATGTACGGTAATAATGCAGACTAATCCACATAATGGAAGCTTGCAACAAATGGCTTTCCAGGTTCACAAGACAGGAATAGCCAACTGGTCCTCCCAGTGAATTAACATTCATGGAAAATATCTAAATCAGATTTGTTGCTGCCTACCAGCTATCATAAAGCACAGGATTAACAGACCACTCTGTGACTTAGCAGTTGTGATTCCTAATGGAGCTACTGCTTATTTTGATCTCAGTGGTAAATGTAATTGATGCTTTCCTCTCATGACTATACAGTTCTCAGTTTCTCCCACTTAATTTCCCATTGACCCTCAAAGATTGAATCAAGTCAGTATGGATCTTTCATCTGCAGTCTGGACAAAGAATTCTTGCCTACATTCATTGACTTCTCGTCCTCAAATGTCTCAAGGTTAAAATTCCCATCCTCAGTTAATGGCCTTGGTCCTCCTTATCTATCTTCAGCTCTGTAATCCTGTGGAAACTCTGTATCCCACCAGCTCTGGCCTCTTGTCCATCGTTTACTACCTCCATCAGTGATCGCTGTGCCTTCAACCATCCAGGGTAATATTGACAAACTGGTTCCCAAGATGATCCCATTTTAACACTTGAAAATTTAACGCATATGAGCCATCAACAAAAACAAAACTGCAAAACGCAGCACAGTAACTTCAGTGAAAGTCACTGTTTTCAAAGTATTTTGTAAAACTGTAATTATTTTATGTACTCACCACCCCATCATTTCATCTGAACTGCTCCAACTCATGGACCATGGCCCAGATGTAGAAGATATGAGGGTTGAGATTCTAGATGTGGTTGATGTTGGAGCTCAGGTTGCTCCACAGCAATAAGATGAAGGTGGCTACACTCATTTATGATCCAGTGGGGATTCATGACTCACTGTTAGGAAAACCTGGGTGGGCTTTGAGCTCTGGAATTCCCTCACAAACTCCCCCTGCCTTGGCACCACCTACTGTTCCTTTGAGATATTTCTTAAGAAGCCTTGCAGTGTCCAAGATCATAGTCTCATCTTCCATGAAATGTCTTGTAAAGGTGTTTTGGGATTAAGATGTGCATTCTCGGAATGTTCCCCCAGCCATTACCCAAGCCGTAATGTGTGACTATAATTGTTCACTCTCGTAAGTGGAGGGAAAACTAGGCATAAGTTGTAACAGTGCATTTACGCATCAGTTATGGGCAAAAATATTCTGTATAATTGGTGATAATAACCAGAAGGGTGCTGGGAGGTTAAATGGAGATTGCAACTTTTGCACTGCCAATTAGTTATTTGATCATACTGGCTTAGCCTTCACTGACAGAAAATCTTCAATCATAGCAATAATTTATTTCAATCAAATGTTGAGTGTTGGTTTGCTCAGTTGGGCAGACAGCTGGTTTGAGTTGCAGAGTGACGCCAACACTGGAGTTTCAATTGTTCAAGTCTCCATGAAGGCCGCACCTTTACAATCTTGCCCTGTGCCTGAGGTGTGATGACCCTCAGATTATACTCCCCATGACACTAAGGCTCAACCAACATTGTCAAGTGGCACAGAGGTTAAGCTCACAACCAAAAAAGTGCTAACGTAAAAACTTCACACAAGCATCGCGTACCCACCCCATGTCCATTACCAATCGCAAACACTAACCCCAACCCCAACCCCAATATTGTCTTTTTCCATATGCATGATTGATAGGTTTGATGTCTTCTGGCCTCAGCATTTGCTTATTGGAGACTGGGATAGTGTATCTTTTGGAGTGGTCTTGTGGGGTAGTGTGTGTTGTGGGGTAGTGTGTGTTGCGTGGGAGTGTGTGTTGCGTGGGAATGTGTGTTGCGGGGGAATGTGTGTTGCGGGGGAGTGCGCGTTGTGGACAGGTGCACGTTGTGGGGGAGTGTGTGTTGTGGAGGGGTGTGCGTTATGGGGGAGTGTGTGTTGTGGGGGGTATGTGCGTTGTGGGGGGTATGTGCATTGTGGGGGAGTGTGTTGTGGGGGAGTGTGTGTTGTGGGGGAGTGTGTGTTGTGGGGGAGTGTGTGTTGTGGGGGAGTGTGTGTTGTGGGGGAGTGTGTGTGTTGTGGGGGAGTGTGTGTTGTGAGGGAGTGTGTGTTGTAGGGGAGTGTGTGTTGTGGGGGAGTGTGTGTTGTGAGGGAATGTGTGTTGTGCGGGAATGTGTGTTGTGCGGGAATGTGTGTTGTGCGGGAGTGTGTGTTGTGAGGGAATGTGTGTTGTGCGGGAGTGTGTGTTGTGAGGGAGTGTGTGTTGTGGGGTTGACTTTTAGCAAATATGAGAAGAGGTGAGATCTCTGCCAGTTGGCCCAGGGATGACCCTGTGGAGACTCTGACAGTGATTGGTTAAAGGCAGGACTAATGTTTGGGGAAGGGATGACCTTTGTGATAAAATGCAGAAACAAGTGGGAAAGTTAAATGTTTCAGTGAACTCAATTTTGAGACTGGTCACTCTCTCCCCACAGGGACAGATTCTTTGGGAAGCCAGCACAACATTCCAAAAGAGTCCGTTTTCAGCAATGGGGACACATTGGATCTGACTTGCAATTCCCAAGGTTCCTCAGTGGCTACGGTGTGGTTTAAAGATGGACTTCGAATTCTGCCCAACAACAGAACGCAAGTTGGACAGAGAGTGCTGAAAGTTATCAATATTTCATATGATGACTCAGGAGTTTATTCCTGCAAACTCTGGGGCACCAGTGAGATCCTGAGAAACTTCACAATAAAAGTCACAGGTGAGTACTCACCCTCAGGTCAGAGCTATGCTTGTGCTAAATTTGTCATACTGAGAGATAGAGAACAACTCTTATTCTATGAAGGGTTGGCTGACATTGCAAAGGCAGCCTGCCCACTGTAGGTTACAGCTTAGTCCTTGTACCTCCAGCTTGAGAAAAATGAACATGACTGGGTACCTTGCTGTGGTGGTTATTGTGAAGAGGTAATAGTCCAGATCTCTAGATGGGCAGTCTCAAGAATGTGAGTTCCAACCCAGCAACTGCAGTGCCAGAGTTTGGCGAGTGACCGAGTTGGATTGCAATGAGAGCCCAGCAGTTTCACTAATGTCTTATGGGATCGTTGGATGCCAACTTTACCCGATCGGAGCGAATCTGGATGCCCAGCGATCCAGCTTACTCTTAAACGACCTCTAAAGTGACCTAACAGGGCAGTCTTGGGATGGGCATTAAATGTTGGCTTTGCCAACAATACCGAACGTCTCAAGAATGAGTAAAGCAACAAAAATAAGTGCAAATGTCAGAAGACAATACTGTCACACCTGAGAAGTGACTCACCACCCTCCAGGGTGAGATGTCAGAGCTGGTGGAACCACACCGCAGGGTGAGACAGAACCGTTAAAAAAAATCAGTGAAATGCAACCACTTACTGTTTGGGAAAGAAACCCCCATCTCTCAGGATTACTCCCCCACAGTTTTTATTGTGCTGGCATCATCACATTGGAAAGGACAGGTGAAGATGAAAATGGGGAGTGAACTGACGTGTAAATGCCCCCTTTGCGATTGTCAATTATTGAAATATTAGCTTATGGTGGAACTTCATTCAGTTTCATTCAGGTAATTTCTTTCAAATCTGAAAGACAGCAAAGCCAAGCTCCTTACTCCCTAAGTGTAAGATGCATAAAGAAAGTGAAATTATTGCAAAGGAAGAAAGGGGAGAATGGATCTCAACAGTGCTTTGATCTGTCAACTTTTAGCGGTGCCTTAGTTACTGCCCTTGGGTAAATTGTAGGAGTGCATTAGCCTAACCAGTAAACACACATACCCTGGGGAGGTGTCCATTGCAACTTTACATTAAATGTTTTCAGGCAGGCATGAAGAAATAAGTAAAAAGCCATATTATTTTGTAATCAAATACCTTAGAAGCTTTTTATCTAATTGACAAAGAGAATGTATAGTGAAGGCAGGAATATACTGCAACAGGATAATGCTGAGAAAAGCTTAATGGGAAAATCTTAACATTAATCTGTAGAAGGTATTGCTGTGCAAAATATTTAACAACAATTTTCTAAGAAATAAGCTTTCTGCGCCACCCCAAATACTCTGAGTATACTAAACCACATGGACTGCTTTTGAGAGCAATCCTGGATGGAATGAATATTGGCCTTGCTAGTGATCTTACATCCAAGAATATCCTGGAATAATGGTCAGAAAGGGATACACCTCTTCCTCCTTATTCTTGTAGTTTCACGACCTTCAGTTAAATAGGGCAGGCACAATTCTGAAGAAGGGTCCAGACCCGAAAAGTCAGCTTTCCTGCTCCTCTGATGCTGCTTGGCCTGCTGTGTTCATCCAGCTCTACACCTTGTTATCTCTGATTCTCCAGCATCGGCAGTTCCTACTATCTCCGAAACAATTTATTCTTTTACAGTTTAATTGCTTCAACTAGGTCAGTCATTTTGTGAGACAGAGGGTAGCGTCCTTGCATCTGAGCCAGGGGCACTGGGTTCAATTCCTTCTGCAGTTCTTGGTAACATGGCCAGACAGGTATCGATTTGTAAATCCGACTAATGCGTACCGATGGCAGGCAGTCAGAGTAGGAGAGATACCTACTCAGCCATGTGAGGGAGAGCAGTCCTCCACCATCACCGCTCATTGCTCCAGTCTATAGCATGCATGTAAAGTTATATGTTACCATAGCAATTTGGAATCCTGGGGGGTGGGGGGGGGGGGGGGGGGGGGTTGCGTGTAGTTTCACATGCAATAGAGAGTGGGTATGAATCAGGCTGGTTCCAACAGCATGGGGTTGAATCACTGTTCAGCTGGGGATGAAACCAGCCTCCCCATGGTAAAGATCATGGTGCTGTTGGTCAGCCCAGCCTCTGGGCTGAAAACTGAAGAAGAACAGATCATCTATCAGTTTGAAGGTGAGGGATGAACTTTTGTATAGGGGAGGATGAAATATGTTTCTCTGATGGAAGGCTATTCCTCCACATCCTAGCAGTTCACAGATATCAAAGCCATATGTTCCTACATCAGGAGTAGCATGGACTGGATCTAGTGTAAAAATGCTCCAGCTGAAGGGCCTTTTGCCACACTGTAAGGATTCTATGATTCTATGATTCTACATCAGTCCTGAAGTGCCCCTGTCTGGCAAGTCCATTTATTTTTAGAATGTTGATTTGTTCTCTTGACCAAGCTGATACTGGCAAAGAAAAGGTGGAACATCAGAACAGCCCTCGAGCCTGTTCCAACATTTGATTAGCTCAATTGAAAAACACTGCACCTTTGACAACCTCACAACAGCCCAGAGCACTTTACACCCAGAGCAATACGTTTATAATGAAGCCACTGTTCACACAAAGGAAATGGTCCGTCTGGGAAACAAAAACATTGTGCAACAAATAACGACTTGTCTAGAGATAGTAGGAACTGCAGATGCTGGAGAATCCGAGACAACAAGGTGCAGGGCTGGATGAACACAGCAGGCCAAGCAGCATCATAGGAGCAGAGAGGCTGACGTTTCGGGCCTAGACCCTTCATCAGAAAAGGGGGAGGGGAAGGGGGTTCTGAAATAAAGAGGGAGAGAGTGGGAGGCGGATAGAAGAGGGATAGAGGAGAGGATAGGTGGAGAGGAAACAAACAGGTCGAAGAGGCGGGGATGGAGCCAGCAAAGGTGAGTGTAGGTAGGGAGTTAGGAAGGGGATAGGTCAGTCCAGGGAGGACGGACAGGTCAAGGGGGCGGGATGAGGTTGGTCGGTAGGAGATGGAGGTGCGGCTTGAGGTGGGAGGAGGGGATAGGTGGGAGGAAGAACAGGTTAGGGAGGCAGGGACGAGCTGG